CTTTTATTCTCGCCTAAAAGGGACAATTTTAAATGTGTGGATAAAACTCTTAATAAGATTGAAAGTTTTCATGTATGCTTTAAATTTCAAACTTATTGGTTTTATGAATGGTTTCTCATTGCAAATTCTTTCGTTTATAGAAAAATGTTTGCTACGAACACCAACAACAACCAGTTTTCTCTCTGCTCAATTCTCGATAAGGAGAGATTGAATGGGACAAACATCCTTGATTGGAAAAGGAATTTGCGAATAGTTCTCATGCAAGAGCTAAAGGAATATACGTCCTTGACGAGAAAATGCCCAACGTTCCTAATGAGGAGGTCACTTAGGCTACCCTAAACCGATGGCACGCTGCCAATCGGGATGTCAAATGCATCATGTTGGCCACAATGTCTCCAGATATCCAAAAGACTTTCTTTGAGAAGAAGACAACTTTTGAAATCATTTTTGAGCTTCAGACCATGTTTCAAGAGCAGGCCTAAACTGAGAGGTTCGAGACCATAGGCAAATCCTTGAGAGCAAGCTCAAGAAAGGAAAGCCCATCAGCCCTCATGTGCTCAAAATGATTGGATTATTTGAGAACATGGAGAGACTTGATGCTGGGCACTCGAACGAGATGGAAATTGACATTATTCTCCATTCGCTACAAAAAGGCTATGATTAGTTCAAGATGAACTATAATGCACAGCATGGAGAAAACCCTCACCGAGCTTCATGAGATGTTGAAGCAGGCTGAGTAAACGCTCAAGGATGAGGGGAAGCATGATATGCTTATGGTCAAGAAGGGCAAGCCATTCAAGCACTCGCGCAAGAAAAAAAGGGCTACAATAGGAAAGGTAAGAAGACCTTTCCACCTAAGTCAACAGCTACCAAGAGCAACAAGGAAAAGAAGGTAGCGTCTTCTCAATCTGATTCCGAATGTTTCTACTGTAAGAAGAAAGGACATTGGAAACGGGATTGCCTCAAGTTCAAGGAGGATAAGAAGACGACACCGTTACTTCTGGATTAGGTATTTTTTTTATAGACCTTAACTTTACTAGAAAAGCATCATGGATATTAGATACCGAATGTGGCTCACACCTTTGTTCCAATGCTCAGGGACTAAGGAAAAGTAGAAGGCTAGTGAGGGGTGAAGTGGAACTCCGGGTCGACAATGGAGCAAGGATTGCGGCCATATCCGTTGGGACACTCAGTTTGTCTTTGCGCTCCGAGCTTGTTTTAGAACTTGAAGAATGTTATCATGTTCCAACATTACCAAAAAAATTATTTCAATTTCAGCGTTGGATGCCAAGGGTTTTGAATTTCGGATAAAAGACAATAGTTGTTTATTTTATCTTGATAATGTTTTATATGGTACGGCAAATTCAAAAAATGGTCTTTATGTGCTTTGACTAGACAAACAGGTTTATAATGTTAATGATACAACCAAAAGGGCTAAGACCGTTGAGTCGAATCAAACCTACTTGTGGCATTGTCGTCTTGGCCACATTAACATCAAACGCATCAAAAAACTTCTTCATGAAGGGATTCTAGATTCATCCGACTTAGAGTCGTTTGAAACTTGTGAAGGATGCTTACTTAGCAAGATGATAAAACAGCATTCTCCAAATTGGGAGAAAGGGCTAGTGACTTATTGGGTCTTAAACACACGGATGAATGTGGACCAATGAGCACAACCGCAAGAAATGGTTATCGCTATTTTATCACATTCACGGATGACTATAGTAGATATGGCTATGTCTACCTTATGTTGCACAAATCTGAATCCTTTGAGAAATTCAAAGAATTTCAGAGTGAAGTGGAAAATCAGCTTGGAAAGAAAATCAAAGCCCTTCGTTTGGATCGAGGTGGTGAGTATTTGAGCTACGAATTTAACGACCATCTGAAAGAACATGGTATTCTCTTATAACTAACACCTCCTAGAACTCCATAATGTAACAGAGTGTCCAAGAGGAGAAATCGAACTTTGTTAGACATGGTTCGATCCATGATAGGTCTTAGCGATCTTCCTATCTCTTTTTAGGGACACATACTTCTAACCGCGACACTTACACTGAACCGCGCTCCGTCAAAGGCTGTCAAAAAGACTCCTTATGAATTATGGACGAAGAAACCTCCACTGTTGTCTTTTCTTAAGATTTTGGGTTACGAAGCATATGTCAAAAGACTCATGTCTGAGAAGCTTGCACCAAAATCTGACAAATGTTTCTTTGTGGGATATCTAAAAGAAACAAAGGGGTATTATTTCTACAACCAATCTGAGAACAAAGTATTTGTTGCTTGAGATGGTGTCTATTTCGGGTGTACTCCTGTGGGAATATCCGAACCACTAACTGCATTGCTGGAGTCTCAGGCTGCCTGTTGGGATCTCGGACTGGACAGCTAGACCCTCCGTTAGTACCACTAGAGGACCAATAAGAGAGAACGTAAATTGCCCTCGGGGGTGGTTTCGAGGAACCCCCTTCCAATGGCTAAGTAAGTGCTTTCCTTTTGAGAGAGTAGAAAGCTTAATGTGCTTAAAGAGAGAGAGAGGGAGAGAGATTGATCAACCCCCTTTATGCGGCATATGTGGGGGTATTTATAGTGTATGATTGTCTTAATTTTAGTGGTCAACTTGTGGCCGACTTACTCTGGTCAAGATGGAAACCGGAGCCTGTGACCGACTCACCCTGGTCGAGTTAGCAGCCGGAGCCTATGACCGACTTCCTCTAGTCGAGCTGCCAGTCGGAGCCTGTGACTGACTCACCCTGGTCGAGCTGGCAGCCGGAGCCTGTGACCGACTCTCTCTGGTCAAGCCCTCAGCCGGAGCCAGTGACCGACTCACTCTGGTCGGGCTGGTAGCCGGAGCCTCTTTGGCCAGTGGGGGTCGACATAGGTGACTTTTAGACTCAGCGGTCTCTCAATGGTAGTCGAGGCGCGCCATCCCTGGAGGAACTGAGATGGTGATATAGTTTAATAAGAACTACCCTATACATCTAGCCCTCCCAAGATATGGTATGAGGTGACTCATGCCTGCTCTTTTGGTCGTCGCTCACCTCTAGAGTGAGGCTGGGAACAAGGGAATAGCTTAGCAAGAGGCTATCCAACAAAACTAGCCCCCCAGGGGGTGGTATGAGGTTACTCATGCCAGCTCTTTTGAGGTAGTAACTTAATCGGTAATTACTCAATAGGTCGTCTGCTTGAGGTTTCCTTCACACAACTAGCCCCCCAAGTCTTACGAGTGCTTCCACGGTTCTAAGACTTAGAGAGATTTGTTGCCAGGTGATAAAGTTGTCGTTATTGTTTACGCAAAGGACCATAATTACGAGCTTGAGCGAGGAATTTCAGTTACTCCCATTGAAGACTGAGAATTAACGAGCTGGAGCAAGGAGTTTTGATTACTCCCGCTGAAGTTTGAGAAATTATGAGTTTGAGCAAGGAATTTCGATTACTCCCGCTAAAAGTTCGAGAAAGTACGAGCTGGAGCGAGGAATTTTGATTACTCCCGCTGAATTTTGAGAAATTACGAGCTTAACTTAGATGAGGGATTTCGATCACTCCCCCTTATTAAAGACTGAAAAATTACGAGCTGACTTAAGCGAGAAATTTTGATCACTCCTCGCTGCAGGCTGAAAAATTTCGAGCTGAGCTTGAGCGAGAAATTTTGATCACTCCCCGCTACAGGCTGAAAAATTACGAGATGAGCTTGTGCGAGAAATTTTGATCACTCCCTGCTGCAGGCTGAAAAATTACGAGCTGAGCTTAGGCGAGGACTTTTGATGATTACCCGCTTCAAGCTGAGAAATTTGCTCTAGTGTGCTTGTTTTGCACTTGCTCACACTTTTGGAGGTTTATCATTCTCTAACCATTCACTTTGCTAAGTGAGGGCTTATTCTTTTACTACTGTGCCTGCTGAGTGAGTGCTTATCGTTTTACCGCTCAACCTACTGAGTGAGTGCTGCCTTTATGCCACTCACTAAGAGTGGTGAGGGCTTGGTTTCATGCTGCTCGCTTAGAACGGTGAAGTGGGGAAAAGCTAAGAGTGCCTTGCTGCCATTCCACTCTATCCTTTTTGATTCCGCAAGAGTGTCAAAGAGAAGTACCTAAGAGATCCTTGGTACCCTTCACTTTTATCTGCAATGTGTGACCGAACAACTATCTTCCTGCTTGTACTTAGTTCAGGGAGCGAACTTTGAACTAGAGCTGACGAAACTAACAAGAAATGACAACAGGACATGAACCAGACACGAAAAATCGGGTTAATTTAAAACACGGGTATGAACATGACATGACACGACACTATTGCCAGCTCTAGAAAATACTTGTCGTCCCCTTTACAGAAGCGAGAACAATGAGGAGTTGTTGGACTTTAATCTCTTAGCTGGACCTGGTTAAGACCAGGTCTTGGCTGCTTTCAGTGTGACCTGGTTAAGACTAGGTCTTGGCTGAAACTTGACATGCTCAAGCTGGACCTGGTTAAGACCAGGTCTTGGATGAATCTTGACATTCTCCGGCTGAACCTTGACATTCTCCAGCCGGACCTGGTTAAAACCAGGTCTTGGACGCTGTTTTTTAATCTAGTCTCATTTTGAGCAAGAAATTCTTTGGCTCCCTACTTTGATGAGCAAGACTTGATATCAAGTGTCTCACTTTGATGTGTAGGGCTCTATATTAGTTGTTGCTTGACTTGGTGCTCTTTTCAGCAATATGTCACTCGGTTAATCCTTTGTATATCTGTTTTACACAAATATTTGGCATGAAAGAGAATTAGTATAAATAAATAACAGAGAAGTCAATGAGCTACTCTTTTAAAGTAACTTCTAGGATAGAAGCATTTTGTATAGCATAAGTTATTCTTTTTTGGAGCAGAAGTAGTGTATTGGAGCAGAATTGACTGTTGCAAGAGCCAGGTTAATTAATGATATGACTCGGGAGGAGTCATCCCACATAACTAACCCTGAGATGGGGTGTTGTAGAGTCGTTCTTATACAACTAGCCCCCCCAAGTCTTAGAGGTGCCATGGCAATTCTAAGACTTGAAGGAGACCGTTGCTTCTTGGCGGCACGGAGATGCATTATATAGTTGAAATATTCGATTTTTTTGAAAAAATTCTGGCTATTCCACGAAAACCTCTGATTTTTCTGTTGACCAATCTGATTATTTTAATTTTCTGTTAAGGTACCTGATTACTCTGCTGAAAATTCTGATTTCTGACTGAAAAATCTTACCACTCCGCTGAAGATTCAGATTCTTCTACTAAAAAATCTGACTGCTCTGCTGAAAATTTTTCGTCTTTCGGCGAGAAGATCTTACTACCACGGTGAAAAATTCTGATTACAGCTGGAACATTCGATTTTCTTACTGAAAAATTTGACTGACGCATGAGAATTCTGGAATTTCTGCTGAAATTCTGACTCCTCTTACTGAGAAACCTTATTGCTTCGCAAAAATTTCGAATTCTCTTCTAAGTAGTTTACTAACTTGCTGTAAATTTTTATTTTTTTTTATTTTTTTGTTTTATGAAAAGTCTAATTGGCTTGCTGAAAATTTTAATTTTCTGGCTGAGAAACCAAGTTACTCCGCTGAAAATTTTGATTTATCTACTGAAAAATCTTGATTGGTTCGATGAAGAATTTATTTTCTAGCCAAAACATCTGAATATCCCGCTGAAAATTCCAATATTTCGATTGAAAAATCTAGCTGCTCTGCTCAAAAGTTTACTTTTTCTGCGCGGGATTCTGACTACCTTGATGAAAAATCTTGGTTTTTCCGACAAGAAGTTCCGATTGCCTCGCTGAAAGTTCTGATTTTTCTACTGAAAAATCTTGATTTTTCGGGCTGAAAACTTCGATTGCCTTGCTGAAGATTATGATTTTCCTGCTGACAAATCCTGATTTTTCGTTGAAAAATTCTGATATTTGTGCTGAAAATTGTGATTGCTCCAACAAAACTTTGGAATTTTCTACTGAAAATTCTGACTATTTCCCTCTTTTATGGGTTTTGATTGCTTCTCTCCTGATCTAAATGCTTATAGTTCATTTTTGAAATTCTTGATAACTAGAGACTTGTTATTGTTGATATTTTCTTCATGCATTCCCAAGGTGTGGAAGATTCTCTTTGTCCTCTTTTCTTCATTTGAAGCCTTCTTTGCTTCATTATGGATTTGCAGATGAACCGAGCTGCTTCTCTTCACGAGGTATCTTATTATCTACTAGCAAACTTTGAATGAGAACCAGTCCCTTTGCGAGTTTGGTGCCATACATCTTGTTCCTAGTCATCAGCTGCTGCTGTATGCTCACAACAGTTATTGCCTGAGCTGGCTGTAGCGATAGTTCTTTCTGATCGTAGAGCTTCTTAATCTGGCAGAATTTGTTGTATAGCTTCATTTGGGTTCAGGCTTATTGTTACTGATTCACTTATTTAAACTTTGCGAATTCCTATGTGCTTTTCATCCTCTCCACTGACTATTATACCAAATTTTGTAACAAACCGGGTGGCAACTTACTGTTGCAAAGCTGGACTTTTGTACTCCGAATTATTATGCAGGCTGGTAGGAAAATGCTTTGATCAGACTACTTCCATCGATCAGAATAGAGCAGGGACCTTTATTTCCTCTATCTTCAAGATCATGACATCCTAGGGGGTCAAGTATCGCTTTGACATGTTATCAATCACAAATATACTCTTTCTTCCGCTGAAATAGCTATCGAAAGAGGTAATAAAATCTTGACAAAGAGCTGATCAGTCAAGAGCTGATCAGAATTTGATTTCCACTGCTGTGCAATTCCTGTCTTATGATAAAAATAATTGAGTCTGCAGCTGCTATACTGCTCCTAGGGAAATTGATGTTAATGGTGATTGATAACTTGCTATATGCAGGGGACTGCTGTCCTCATGTTGCCGAGGGTGTTTCGTTATCACAAGAATCAGCTCGCTAGAGTGCTTGATTGCACATGTTATAATTTATGACATCGTCAATTCAAGTTTTTGCATCTGAAGGTTGCCAAAATCCATCAAAACGAAGTGAACTATCTGAGCAACACCCTTGGCATTTTACAGTCATGACCTTCCCTACTGAAGAGGTAGTGCTTTATAAGACCAGGAACAAATCAGTATATTAATGCTTAGTCTTATCAGAATAAATGAGTGCTCACAGATCAACAGATTTAAGACTATAGGTTCTCGCAGGAGCTTGTGATCTCCAGCTTAATTGCTCTACTTTCTAGGCACTTCATGGGCATAGGACGAGCTAATGTTGTTCTTGGTGCCAGAAGTTTTTCCATCCATTCTCCATCAAAATTGCTCTAGAATATTTATTTTAAAGGAGAATGTAACCAGAAGAGATGGCCAAGATCACTAATAAGCATAAACTGTATTGAACCTGTCTATCCACGAGCTGTTGTGTGCTTGATGTGTACTTGCCTGCTTGATGGCACATACCATAAAGCAGCTACACCAGGTATTTTTGAAGGTCTAGCAACATTTTTCAAACCTTTAGATCCGAAACTGTTGTTGCTTTCCTATCTACATATTGCTGACAGGACGACTAAGTAGCTTGTATTACCAGACCATTTGAAGGTTTTCTGGCAGATTATTTTCTGAGTTTTTGACCCTTGCATTGTGATCTTATTGTATTCATAGTCACTCGTTGCAGAACTCTTATCATCTGAACTTGTGCTTAGGAGGATTTCCATGAAACTTATGAGTAGTTGAGGTAAGAAGATGTCACTTTAACACTTTATAATCCTCCTTTTACTCCAAGCTCTGTGCACAACATCACAAGTCTTCTGCTGCTAAATGATTGCAGTACCACTAAGAAAGCAGTCCTGCTTTCAAAATTGAGCTGATGCTGATGCTCAGATAATAGGCCGCAAATATGTCCATTCTCCCTCAAAAATGCTACGGAATATTTATTTTGAAAGAGAATGGAGGCGAAAGAAGATGCCAAGATTGCCTGTAAGTTTCTGCTAGGTTGAACTTCTTATCCTCGAAAATGCTGCGTACCTGACCATCAATATGGTAGCTTGCATATTCCGGATTGAAGGATTCTAACTGCTCGTACTCTTGTAATTTGGATCCTTATGAAGATAGGAACACCTTGCTGAATATCTGACCGTTCAGAGTCACTAGACAACTTTACCAAAAGCTATGTTCTGTTGGTGGTACCTCTGGTATTTCCCACGCAGCTACTAGTATGTGAAATTTTTTCATACGCACAAGTCTGCTGCTTGAGGACAATTTCCTTTGAATAATTTTGCTGCAGGTCAGGTTTTATGATCCAATTCGAAAACCTTAATCATTAGCAGGCTGTACATGGGGCTCTTAGCCTGCGAATCATTTCCTGTGAGCTAATCTGTACACTCTCTGCCTTTTATCAACCTGCTTCTGCAAGATCAGGTCATGTTTTTGGTGAGATGCCGAATTACTTCTTACTCATCAAAGCGGTAGGGCTCTTGATTTTATATTGGCTTATACTTTGCTCCCTTTACATTGTGAATTATGAAATCACAACCATAATCTTTGTTGCTGCTTTCATTGCTCGAATATACCCATCATGGAACCTGTTTGTTGTTATCTTATCAATAAGACGTGAGGGATGTGCTGTTGCTGATAAGTGGTTTATTTGACCACTTATTATGGTGATTTTAACCCAATTTTGCAATCTTTTCCCTTATTTTTCTTACCCGTTTTGTATATAAATGTTGTATCGTGGCTTTGCCACCTCTTTGTATGTGTTTGTCCATGATTTGCAGGTGTTATGACTTACTTTGACAAGCAATCAATGCTCGTAGAAGAGCTTAGAGCAAGGCAATAATGAAGGGAGAGCCCGCTCCTAGAGGAGTGGGCGTGCACCTCTCCCGGAGTAGGCGCTCCTCCGTGACAACAACATTCTGACCCTGTGAGGAGCGGGCGTGCTCCCGAGTTGGAGCGGGCCCTCCTAACTGTTGTGCTAGAATCTGCCTTAATCATGAAGCAAGGAGGACCCGGCATGCACCCTCCTTGGAGCGTGCGCTTCTCCCCTACAACTTGAATCTTCCATCTGCTGAAGAACAGGGGAGCGGGTGCTCCTTGCTGCCATCGTCGAATCTGCCTCTATCTGAAGCTAAGAGGAGCGGGCGTGCAGATTTCAGGAGCGGGCGCTCCTAGCTGGAAATCCATTTTCTTTTGATGGATTAACCTATGCAATTCGGGGAGTATAAACCCCTTTAGTTCATTTTAAAACAGACATCAGTAGCATAGTTCTTAGCAACTTTCTTCTAGTTTGGAACAATCATCTTTGGTATTTTAGCTTAGAAATCCTCAAATTAATCGTTATAGTAGCAAGTTTCAAAGATTATTCTCAAGATTCAACCTTTGTACTCAACATTTGAAGCTTCAATTAGTAACTTCTTTCACATTTCTCTATTTAATTTCTGATTTCATTTTGCTATTGCATGTCATTTAAATCTCTTTAGTTCTTGATAATTTGTTGTTAGATGTTAATTTTATCATTAGTTAATCACTTTCCCCCAATTGTTGAACTAGTTAGAATCCTAATCTTGGTTTGCATGTCACTTGAAATGAGTTGTTAGTAGTCCTCTTTGCTAAGGGTTGGGTGAAGCTCAACCTACTGGTTAGTTAAGTAAATTTGGGAGAAGTATTGATGTTTGATTTGTGATTAAATTGATTGTATGAAATTGTTTGTTAGTTCTTAATGATAGAATTAGCTACCCTTGAATTAGGTTAGGAGCTAGATGGCATGTTATACTTTGTTTGACATGGAAATATAGATTAAGTATGTCATTACTTATTGCAATTTGATTATGTATCTTTTATTGCTAAACTAATGAGGGATCTAAGTTTAGTAGTGTGAGTTGTTTTCCTAATTGCATGAGGTTGGTCTTACATATAGTCCTTGCTATCTCTTGTCTCTTTTACTCCCAATTTGCCATGGTTGAGTGGATCCCATTCCCTAGTGCTTTTATTTACTTGATTTAGAACAATAGTTTGTTGTTTACTTGACAAACACCCCTTTCAACAAAAGACTTCGAATTAGCTTGAGTGTTAAGTTCTTTAGCAATTATACCCTGTTTCTTATGGACCGAACTCTTACTTATCATTGTTCTTGGTTTGTGAGGTGTTTGCTTATAAATGTGTTTAAATGAGTGTGGAATGTGCGACCGTTCTAACGCCCATCAAAATGGCCCCGTTGCTGGGGAGCGGTGTTGTTAATTGCTAATTGATTACTTGAGTCTAGTTCACCATTAAAGGAAAAATACAAAAAGAGTTCGTTTCTTTTAGGCTACACTTGTATCCTTGTTACTAATTGCAATTGTTGAGTGTGTATGGGCTGAACCCATAACAGGATTTTGGTACCTTACGATCCCGAGATTGAACAAACTTATAGAAGGAGAAGGAGATCCGGTTTTAGGCTGTTAACTACTTCCCCAGCTGGAGAGTTCAACTCCGAGAAACAACAAGATCAAATGGGTGATCCACAGCCACCACCTCAAAGACCTTTGAAGGAGTTGGGAACTCCGGAAGCTTATAGAGCTTCAAGTGGGATTGCTCCCCCCAAACACCCCGGCCAACGACTTTGAGATCCGGCCTGCGATGATAAATTTGATTGAAAGGAGGCAATTTAGTGGAGCAAAGCACGAGAGCCATATTGTACACGATCAAGGTGAATGGGGTCGCTCAAGATTTTGTGAGATTAAAGCTATTCCTTTTCTCCCTAATAAGAAGAGCCCTTGAATGGCTTGAAAAGGAGGTGAGATCCAATTCCTTGAGAACTTGGGATGAAGTCACCACGGCTTTCCTAGGGAGATTCTACTCTCAAAAGAAGACGGCTGAAGCAATGGCTTTGATCCAAGGATTTCGACAAAGAGCTAGTGAAACCATATATGAGGCATGGGAAAGGTATAAAGAATATCAAAGGGAGAGTCCTCATTATGGTATTCCCACATACCAAGTTCTTCAAATTTTCTATAGAGGCTTGATCCCCCAAGGGAAGACTAGTTTGGATGCGGGAGCCAGTGGGCCGATAATGAACAAGACGGAGGAGCAAGTGATAGAGATCATAGAGGATGTTGTGAGGCACCATATGGATTGGCAAGAAGGAGAAACGGAGTCCTCAAGCAAAGGTGGAAATGCGGTTTACTCCGTCAATCACCTCAACGCTATCAACAATTTGACATCTCAAATTGCCAACCCTTGGCAAGGAGATGACATCGATCAAGGCAAAGCTTGAATATTCCTCTTCACACCAATAATATCCCTCCCAATTTAAGGGGAGAGGTATGAGTTATAATCCTTCTGCTTCTACCTCTAATAACATGCTTAATGGGTGTCTCTTTTGTGAAAATTGTGGCTCATATGATCATGATACTTCTTTTTGCACTTATGATTCTCAACCCTAACCCCAATATGAGGATGGTAAATAACTTGAAAATGAACATGCCAATGCTTTGTCTTATGATAATAGACCTAGAAATGACAATCAAAGATATCTACCACCTAATCAAAGAGGGTAAGGGGGAAATTCCTATAATCAAAGAGGAAATGATTATGATTACCATAACCAAAATTCATGGGGTAATAGGAACCAAAGGGACCAAAATCCCCAAGGTAACTACAACCAACAAGGTAGTTATGGTAACCATAACCATAATAACCAAGGGAATTATGGGAATCAAGGCCAATATCACCAAGGAGGGAACTCTAATAATAGGAACAATTGGAACAACAATAACAATAGAGGTTTTTCTAATCCCTCCAATTTGAATGTGAGAGGTACTAGAGCTCCTTAAGATAACTACTATGCACAAGCACCTCCACTTAGATCCAATTTAGAGGAAATGATGGAAAGCCAAACTAAAATGTTCAACACTTTCATGACCTCTAGTGATAAGAAATTTAGTGAACTAATGACTCATAATAAAATGCTTGAAACAAAAATTTCTCAATTGGCCACTGGTTTAAAGGAAGGGGCTAGCACTTCCAAACTTCCACTCTAAGGACTAGATCCCAAGAGACCCGTTAATTCTATATCAACTAGGAGTGGGAAGGTGTTGGAAGGGAGTGTCCCTAAGAAAAACAATGAGAAAGTGAACATGAGTGACCTCCTCTTGAGAGTGATTTTGTGCATGAAGAAGAGAAAGCCTTTGAGAATGAGAAAGATAATGAGAGTGAAAAAGAAAAGGAGAGTGAAAAAGAAAAAGAAAAACAAAAACAAAAAGAAAGAGAAGAGAAACCAAACAATTTCAAAGACTTCCATATCCTCATAAATTTGTGAGAAACAAATTAGATGTGCAATTTGGAAAATTTCTTGAAACATTGAAGCAAATTCACCTTTCAATCCCTTTTACCGATACTATCAAGCAATTGCCTAACTATTCTAGGTTTTTGAAAGATATTTTGTGTGGAAGAAGAAAGTGTGATTTGGTGGAAACGGTGAATCTCACCGAGAATTGTAGTGTTATTATCATGAACAAGATGCCACCAAAGTTGAAAGATCCCGGTAACTTTTCTATCCCTTGTGAAATATATAAAATACAAATTGATAATTCTTTGTGTGACCTTGGGGCTAGTGTTAGCCTTATGCCATATTCGTTATATCAAAGACTTGAGATAGGGGAACTTCTACCCACTAACATTACCCTACAGTTGGCCGATTGATCAATTAAATTTCCAAAGGGTAAGGTAGAGGATGTTCCTCTAAGGGTGGGACAGTTTGTAATTCTGGTGGACTTTGTTGTATTAGAGGTGGATGAAGATGTTATCATTCCAATAATTCTAGGAAGACATTTTCTTGCTACTCGGGTGCTTTAATTGATGTTAAAAGTGCTAAAATTACACTAAAAGTAGGAGATGAGGTGTTAGAATTTGACTTGAATGAGAGCATGAAGTATCCAAGCTCAACTTTGGAAAATTTTATGATGATTGGTGCTATTGATTCCATTGTAAATTCTATGCATGAGCACTTTCTCACTTCTAACAATGCCCTTGAGAATATCTTATTGAACAAAGGAAAGATAGGGGAACAAAGCAAGGAGATGACACTATATGAAGAAATGCTTGAAGGAAGTACGGAAGAAAGCATTGAGCAAGTATGCATGGGAACCATGAGCCATGATGCATTGGAGATAGCTACAACAAGAGAAGGTAAGGGTGTTCCGACGGTAGAACTCAAACCTCTACCATCACACCAAAGGTATGTGTTTTAGGATCCCAACTCAACTTATCCGGTAATTATTAATTCCTCTTTGAACAAGTGCCAAACTCAAATGTTATGTGGTGTATTAAGAGACCACCAAGGTGCTTTAGGCTATACCATTGACAACCTCAAAGGTATTAGTCCAGCTTTATGTATGCACCACATAACACTTGAGGAGGGTGCTAAGCCTTCCATTGAAAGGCAAAGGAAACTTAATCCTAAAATGGGGAGGTGGTGAAGGAAGAAATCACCAAACTCCTTGATGCGGGAATCATCTTCCCCAATTCGAGTTCTAGATGGGTTTCCCCCGTTCATGTGGTCCCTAAAAAGGGGGGAATAACCGTAGTTGAAAATGAGAATGGTGAGCTCATTCCAACTAGAACGGTGACCGGTTGGAGGATGTGCATAGATTATAAACTTCTAAATGCATCCACTAACAAGGATCATTTTCCTCTTCCTTTTATTGACCAAATGCTTAAAAGACTAACAAAGCACAAGTATTATTGTTTTCTTGATGGTTATTTGGGTTTCTTTCAAATCCCCATAAACCCGGATGACCAAGAAAAGACAACCTTTACTTGTCTATATGGTACTTTTGCATATAGGAGGATGTCGTTTGGACTTTGCAATGCACCAGCAACCTTTCAAAGGTGCATGATGAGTATCTTTGGAGACATGCTTGAGGCCGAGATGAAAGTGTTCATGGATGATTTCTCGGTAGGAGGCCTCTCATTTGAAGATTATTTGTCCAATTTGGGAAAATGTTTAGCAAGATGTGAGAAGGTCAACTTGGTCCTAAATTGGGAAAAATGTCACTTCATGGTTGAAGAAGGAATTGTCCTCAGTCACAAGATATCAAGCAAGGGAATTGAAGTGGATAAAGCAAAATTTGAAGTGATTAAAAAATTACCACCTCCGATCAATGTAAGAGGAGTGAGGTCCTTTTTGGGGCATGCCGGGTTCTATAGGAGATTTATCAAGAATTTCTCCCTTATTGCTAGACCTCTCAATGCTCTTCTTAAAAAGGAATCCGACTTTATTTTTGATGAAAAGTGTCTTCATGCTTTCAAAAAAATTAAAGGAAGCTTTGATCACTTCTCCAATTGTGCAAGGGCCAAGATGGGATTTGCCATTTGAGCTCATGTGTGATGCTAGCGATGTTGCTATTGGAGGTGTGTAGGGACAAAGAATAGAAAAAAAGCTTCATGTCATCTA